AAAATGTGTAGATCTCTGTACAGTATTATTTTCATCTTGATTATAACTGAAACTGTAAGATGATGTAATACTGTATTGAATTGAAATTTTCTGTTTTAATATTAACAGACATTTATTGCCATGAATTACTTGAAGGGTATTCAAGGGTTTAATTCAAATATCACTTGATATTATTTCTATTTTGAGGCAAACATCCTTAATTGTTCAATAGTTTCTTCAACCTTAAACACTGAATTAAATATTCTATTTATAATTATATATTGCTGAATGTTCGACATAATTTGTTTGGTTAGTTTTTGAAAATATTTTAGCAACTCTACAAAATTTTATTTGAAATAAATGAGGTAATACGACATTTTTTCTGCTGTTGAGGGTTGAGATATTTGAATGATATCTAGGATTTTTATTAGGATCTTTACATAAAAATTATAAACTCATTTTTGTAATATGTATTTGTAATTTTCAGGGTATATAATTTGCATCATACCATTTTCTCAGAACAGCTTTTTATGATCTTGTATATATTTTATATAGTTAAAAATGTTTTTTTTTTTGTCAAAATGGTTTTGTATATTCTAAAAAACAAAAAAGTTTATCACATTGTTAATTTATTATTTTTCATTGTTAAATCTTTGATTTGATTTAATTTCCTCATAGCCTTGTATTACATTATTTTATTACCTGATAATGGATATTTTTCCAACCACAGAATCACAAATCAAATGCAAAAAAACTGTAGAAAATATGTAACTGGTGCTTTATTTTACGATATTTAGTCGATTTGGTTTGTCTTATGGTTATGATTGAATTTTCTTAAAACTGTCCAGGTCAATACAGGGAAAGTAGACACAGCTGGAATATTAAGAATGAAGTGCTTTCCGTATTATCAAAAGATTGTCAAAATGGTAGTAAACATGATTGTACATGTTTAGATTTTCATAAAATGATACTATTTTTCCATAATCATGTGGTATGATTTGACAGTTTCTTAGCTGGAAGTTACCAAATTAGTAATCATAGATCTGTTACATGAGTTTCAATCAATCAGGTTATATCTCTTTCTTATGTTTAATAGCACATCGAATTTCTAAATTTCCATCAATTTCTTAATACTGCATATTTTGACCTTCATTTGTTTTATTTGAAGTAGCTTTTTTGTTCTCTTTTGTAAATATAGATGTTTTCATTGATAGTTATATATTATATTGTACAAAATTATCGTTGATTTTTCTCTCATTTTGCCGTCATCTCATTACAAAGTGTAATGTTTGACGGATCTAATGCCTTGAGAAAAAATAAAAATATTTTCTATAAACATTGTCGTTTTTCTGAACCGTTACATTTCTAGGTATTATACATTTTTTAGCTTTGGTGCGAATGGATAGTAGTCCAGGTCTTTCACTTATTTTCTGACTTCATTGATGAAAATAGAATAATTTATATACACCTAAACAAAAAGGTATTTTTATATTTTTAATGACAAATAGATTTAATCAATCCCCTCATTTCAAAAGACACCATTTGAGTTGCCCTCAAGTAGATGGTTGTAGCATATTTCCATGAGTAAATTTTTTCTTAATTTTCAATACTCTCAAGGCTTTCGGGGTTATAACAGTTTCCAATATTTTTTATATTTTCAGAATTGTCGAAATTTCCAATTTTCTAAATTGTCAAAACCAAATTTTCTTGCTTTTCAAAATTTTTATGCTTTTAATTTTCAAAATTTTCGATTTCCCAAAATTTCAACATTCTAAATCAAGCAAAATTTTCGTGCTTCCAAAAATTCCCAGCAACGTCTACATTTTCATGCTATTCACAATTTTTAAAATCGCTAAAATTTTCATTATGGAAATTTTTGAAAGATCGACGATTCCAAAATTTTCATCTAAATTTTCAGAAATTTCAAATTGAAGAACTGTAACTATATCATTCAAGTTTTCGTTATTATGAAGGTTGGCCAACCCGCAATTGGCACTCGATCCTCAGTCAGCATTTTTTCCTCCATACGCTTCGGAAATAGTTCAATCCTCTGTATTTTCCATCGCAGGAATAGGCCAATAGGATTTGAATTCTTTGCTGATACCAATTGCACGTGACTATGCATTTCATGTCAAACTGTCAATGTCAGGGAATAAACACTGTAAAACAGTGAATATACTCAGAACGTACTTTGAGGTGAAATAGAAAGCTTTCAGGATTATCAAAGTTTCCAATATTTCAAAAATTTTCAGAATTTTTGAAATTTCTAATCACCAATTTAAAAAATCAAAATTCTGCTTTTAATGATTTTCAAAATTTTCGATTTTTCTAAATTTCAACATTCAAAATCGAACAAAATTTTCGTGCCTTCCAAAATTACCAGCAATTTCTGCATTTACATGCTATTCTTAATTTTTAAAAATAACAAAATTTTCAATATTTTCGAAGAATTGACCCCCACCTTTTTTGCGCAAAGCTGTATTTAAGATTTACAGTAGTGGCACCCTTGACAAATGATAAACATCTCATAATACTTGGGATCCCAGTTGCCTCTGAATTTAGCTACAGAAGACATAAAAACAATAACTAGCAAAAATACTATATTTAAAATATACAAAGTGACGTGAAATCTAGTAACTACAAATATTACTAGATCAAAAAAATTAGTAAATAATTGGTAGAAACAGTTTACCAAAGTTACACCTCCTCAAGCAAGGGGTAGGCATCATCAGACTTGACTAGAGCATCAATGTTATAAAATGCAGCATGTAATGTGATAACTACTATGGAGGCCCCAATCACCCAAAACATTGCACTGTGAGCTCCCACAAGGTAATATACGGGTAGAGAACATGCCACAACAAGTCCATATTGGTGAGCAAGGGTGAGTTCTTTTTTGAAAAGGAAGATTTTCTTGTTTTCCATGTGACGTTTGTTCAGTCGGTAACCTGCATAGAATGTGGCAGCTATGGCAATCAGGATCAAAGGAGATGTTATCCTGGAATGTGAATGATAAAACAGTTTAATCAAATTAGATTTTTATTCATAATAAATGCATATATAGATCTTTGGAATGGAATAAACTGTATCTGATGTATTAAACACATATTTTTTATCTGAAAGGTTGTGTCATTTTGTACAGAATATATATTAGTCAAATGTTCACCATAGCTTTGCATAGAGATGTGGGTTCAGGAGATTTGATTTACATTGGCTCTAAGACTCGGCCAAATTAGACCAATAGCCTGAGTTGACTTTGAAAGCATTGTTGATTGCAGCTACAGGCATAACAGTAGTAGACATTTTTCATAGAACACACTAGAGGTACAGTTATGATGACACCATTTTTTCAGAATAGTTTTTTGAAGCTGCGGGCATTTATAATATGCTGCTATTCAGTAATACCTGTATAACACAGGCAATCAATAAAATTCAGTCTGATCTATGTAACAGCTATTGAAAGTTTGGCCTTTTCAATCTATGCCAATATGCCATGGTAGAGGAATGCTATATTAAATAAAAAAAATGACATACCAGTCTTATACTCTCACACAGTTTGTTTACTCCATTCCAATGTTGACTTATGTATATCCTCATTTGAAACCTCTCATACTACTACTAGAAAAATGATTTACTCTTTTATTTTTATGGGAACATTCCCATTAGATATGAAGAAACAAAAAATGAGAATGTATTATTGTTAATAGCACAGCAAGACAAATCTCTTAGCTTTATACCCATGTTGTAACCCTGCACTAAAAAAGATGTGCTATACAATGTTTTTCATTGAAGGTATCTAGATAAAAATTATATATATAATAAGTAATGTAAAATTAAATGAACCAAAAATGAAAAAAAGAGTACCTACACAATTTAAAGCTGATTTTTTTGGGAAAATCTGTTCAATGCATTAAGTAAATATATCAACTGCATCCAACCTTAGAGTTGCAAAAACAGGATAAAATTCAAATAAAAAAAATCCTGTTGACCCCAATTTTGTGAGAATAAAATTAGGACACTTGTAAACTATTGCATGGGGATATCATCTTTATAAAAATGATACATACAAGCAGTAAACTACTAATCCAAGGAAGACAAACAAGTAGTTCGCTTGGAAATATTCAATGTTCCTCATGATCCGCTTTCCAAGCCTTGGAATTGATGGTGGGGCTTTGAAATTGGAAGTTTGTATGAAGACTAGCCAGGACCGTACATTCTGCCTTTGGGTGCTGATCCATTCTTTGGGGTCTGGGATGTGTGTCGGTATTCGCATGAAGCTGCAAACAATACATTGGTCGGTTTCGGTGCCTCTTTAAATGGGGCGCATGTTTACCTGGGAAATTTACTTTTGACTGGTATATCCAGAGGCGGGTCCATTTCGCCCGCTACGTCTACTGATATGTCATTCATCTTTGCTGGGAACTTGAGTTAATCCATTAAAAATAAAAACGATGTTGATTTGGTTTAAAATGCAACAGCTGACGTGTTTGTTTTTATATTTTTTGTAAACGTCAAAACCAATTTCAAATGTCAACCATAAAGAACCCACTCCCTCCCAGTGGTCAATTTTATGAGTGATCAGCAATCCTCATTTGTACCCTTGCTTGACAATTTGACTGATCAGCATACCTCGTTTGTACCCTTGCTTAACTCGTGAATGGCAAGAGAAAGGAAAAAGGAAGGTCTTGTATGGTCATCAGACACACTTTTCAATTATTGAATGAGACATTTTCTAGCCGTATATTTTATGATTTCAGCGATCAGGGTTGGTCACCCAGATTAATTTGATTAATAGCTGCATGGAAGTTCTTTCAAATTTCATGTCGACACACATTCCTGTAAAAAACAGTGTCTCAACGAAATTTAGGCAAAATGTGCTTCCATGCATAACTATCCGGTGCATTTCATAAAACGGCCCGAGTATCGATAACATGGCCACGCAAGACAGCTATTAAAATATACTCTAATAGGATCTTTGTCCTTACTGAGGCCTAGAAGTGCTCATAATTAGTAATCCCTGATTTCTCTGTTTTGCGAGTGATCAGAAATGCCTCATTTGTGCCCCCTTTCTTCTCCTATCTGACTGACTAGTACTCCTTCGTTTGTACCCCTACTTTGATATTTTAAAATTCACCCTTTCTTGTAGGATTAGCAATTGTCTCATTTGTACCCTCCTCCTCTCCTATCTGACTGATCAGTAATTCCTTGTATGTACCCCTGTTTCGCTCCTAGGTTGTTCCTTCCTCTTACTCCGTGTTCTATGTGTCGAAGTCATCAGTCACCGTCAATTTCGATCGCCATTTTGTTTACTTGCCCTTATCGAATTTCTTCAGGATTTTTATCGTTTTAGTACAAAAAAACAGTTCGGAGTTCGTGTTTTTACTTCGGAAAATATTGTACTTTTCACGGCCTTCGAGATGATGACCTCTTTCCAACAGCAGCGCCTGTTAATGGGCCAAATGCGACCTCCTAATGTGAGTATCTTGCACGCCTACGTACAATCAATCAATCGTGTTTTTCCAGAGTACCAAAATGCTCCTATTGTATAATTAGCTTTTTTAAGGCTCTTTGTAGAAGTATCAATTATAAGAACGTGTTATTCTTGATGGGGCTCGGATATTACCAAATTGTTTTTGGCATTGCACATAACCCTATTTTTATGGAATGTTTTTAAAATTCTAAATTCCAAACAAAAGCTTATCTTATGATAAGTACATGAATTAATTCATGCTTCTATCCAATTTTGATTTAGTTTTATCGAAGGACCCGAGTTTTATCGAATTTTCGTTACTGCGAGAAAAGTTAAAAAAGAATACACTGTTGGAGAATATATTTTGTGGGGTATGAAGTGCTTGAGCTATGAATTACTACTAAAAGTTTGCAAATTTAAACTTTTTGATTATTGTTATGTTCATGTTTTAGTAGACATAATTTTAAGTGTAAAATATAAATTGACCTCACTAATCTACCTATTTTAATAGTAGATACAAACAAATGAGAAGGCATCTTTGAAGGGATCTAATAAATATGCTTGATTTCTTGTAAAATGTACTCAAACTGGAGAACAAATTAATGGTTTGTGTAAGATAGACCCCTTAATGCCCATGTTCAATCAAGAAATATGTCATATATCACCTGTTTTAGCTAAAAAAACATATTTTTTCATTTGCTTTTGGACACCAATATAGCAGTTACGTCATAAAATGCATACCTAGATTGATGGCAATTACATCACTTTATTGAAAAAAAGCAGTGTTTCACTGTTGCTGTATAAAATTCTGCTTGATAAATTTTTTGGGGACATAAATGAAACCACAGAATATTTATTCTTGAACAAACATCCACTTAATATTAAATTTACTTGACTACTGTTCCTTATGCCAGCTGTATTAATAGGGAGCTCTCAAATCCTCTCAGTGGGACAATTACTTCTAGCTTTGCTATAGGCACAGACTGTTATTTTCAAGCAAATGCTCATTAGTGACATCATGTCAATCTATTGTATCAGGTTTGATTGATGTTTCCAGTAGGCTTCAAATCTGTTTATATTCAAATTTGCACACAAATTCACCTTTTTGATTGGTGGCATTTGCATCAATGCTTGTGTCTAGACAAATGACAAATACACTTTTGTAGCTAAATCTTGTGATATATGAAGATTTTTTAATATGAGAATTAGGAGCCCATCTCCACAAATTGTATACATTTTCTGTAGTTGGAGACACATTTTACAAGAAATTGACCAAATTTATGAGATCCATTACTTCAAATATACCTTCTCATTGGTCCAATTTCTGTCAATGGTGGGTGGGTACAAATTTTGATTCACGTGGACCAATAGTCAAATTTTGCCTTACTACTGGACTGAAAAAAAAAAGAATGTTTGATGAACAGGATGAAAATGTATAAATATGTCATCCATGAGTATTTCACATGGGTTGCTACATGAATTTTTCCAGGACCACCAAACACACAATGGAATATTTTCCAAGAAATCATCTAGATCAAGTATCAATATTTTCCCCAAAAAAGTATACTTGTCCAAAGCAATGTCAAACTGTTCCAGCTTCTAAAAAAGCAGATATTTGCTGAGTAAAGTATTAACTCAATAAATTCTATTTTACAGCCTCCTGCACGGCCTGGAGTGCCTCCCATTCCAGCAAGCTCAGTCTTACCCCCTCCAATGATCCCCACCACCCAACCTCCCACCACAATTGGTATGCCCCCCATGCCTCCAATGCCCCCAGGGATGATGCCACCGCCCCTCCTAGGGATGCCTCCAGTAGTTCCACCTCCCCCAGTACCAAACATACCACCCCCAGTGGTGGTGTCTGCTCCCCCACCTCCATTACCCCAAACCCCAGCTCCTTCACAAGTAATGGAAGTCCCAAAACAAGAGGAGGAGGAGGAGCATTTGGAACAATCTGCTAGTGAGATGGAGTGTGAACCACCAGCTCCTGGTACTGAAGAGCCTAAGGAGGAGCCTGTCGTTATGATGGATCCACAAAGTAAGTACCTGATCAGGTGTCGGATGAGATATGGTGAGGTTAGGCCCCTTGAACATTGTGTGACTGATTCATTTTAATCCTGTTGAATAGTAACATATCAGAAAACAGACACATTTCTGCTTAATACTGGTAAATTGTTTGATTGATAAAGTATAAGTCAACTGGTCATCAATGACAAATACAAACATCAGGTGTTTACTTATTTGTTTCTTAAAAGTCTACATTGATTGGGCAGTATCAATATTTAAAAGTAAAAGGCAAATTACAAGGTAAATCATGTGAACATCTCTTTTGTTCCAATTATCAGCACTGAGAAAGTTTGTGGGGAAGAGCTTCACAATAGTCTCTATTGTGTAACATAGTCCAGTAGAAATGCTAATCATTATGATGATAGGGTATAGGAGAAAACTCACTAGTTTATTTGGAGATTAATTGTATTTTAATGTGTACTTTTGTAGTAGGATCTGTCATATAACATGCCATTGTATATGATGAAATCAAATAAAATTGCTTATACCCGTGCCAAAATTAAGTTTTGTTGGTCTCTTGATATAGTTGAGTATCTTAATAAATAGTTAATGGTATGGGAAGAGCAGATTTTTGTACAGCTGTCTGATCATCCATTAAAATTTGTAGCAAACTTGCAAAAACAAGCCCTAATGTACTGTTTTAACTAATATCAAAGTAAAACTATAAAATAATAAATTCATAAAACACCTTTGTGATAATATGAAGACATTTAGAGGTCAAACTTATTTGCAACAAGATATTCTAGAACTGGGAGGAAGGTGACAATCTAGTTTTGAGGGTATCGTCAGTCCTCACCTTCGATCCAAGATTTGACTTTGACATTATTAAGGTCTTGACCATATCCATAAAATGTGTATCCTTAGTTCCAAGTAAACAAATATGTAACTGTATTGACATGGCTTTGACCTTGATATGTCCTATTAAGTCACATTCTGGCTCTTGGGAAATGACTTATATTTGAACCTATAACACCTTCCTCAGTTTCTAAAATAAAAACATGTGATCTTATTGCAAATTGAAGTAGTTTATTTTTCATTACCTCAGTCTATTAAGAGAAAAATGTATTTCCAAATCGAGTAACTTTCTTCCAATATGCCCTGAACAAAAAGCAAGGCTGCTGGACTATGAACTGATGGTCTCGTTCTGAACAAACATGAGCGGCGAATTACGGGTACAAAAAGCAATCTAATGGTGGTTTGTCTGCTTGCGATGTGTTGCAGAAAGAGAGAAAAACGGCGTTCGTGGTGTATCTCGCCTCATGGAGACTCTGGCATAGCTGATGTGTATAGACTCGATCGATCGCTAGCACTGTAGCTCTTCGCTACACGGTAGGAAGATACGCACACTACATAGTCAAGAATAAAAAAAGATAATATTTTTGTATAGGTCAATCAATACAGTAAAGATCTATTCCATTTGCAATTAAATATTATGGGATATGATATCACACGATAATAGCGATTGTGAAGCCCTTTGGTGACAGAAAATAAGCGTATGCTCTTGCTTACAGACCCTTATTGTGCTCTGATTAGGAGCTAGTAAAATTGTAGCACAGGCGAGCTGCTATAGCATCTGACTGCTAAGTGAACTTGCGTCATAAGTGACGTGTGTCATCTTTAAGTAACGTCAGTTTATGGAAATGTCGTTCGACCTTCTAGCCATCAATTTTATGTAGCAGTTTTAGTGATCACATGGAGAAAATAGAAAATTGTCAGCAACAGTGCATGCCATATGTGCTGCTATCAGTAACTGATTCAATCCACGAGATTACTAAAATTCAAACATAAAAAGGACCATTTTAAAATTTTGGCCACCATGGCATTTCTTATATTATTTAATTGCAAAAATCTGTATTGGTTGGTCTATTTTAAGGCGGACGAGTGCCAAGTATGAGTTAGTAATAGTTGCTTAAAAAATAGTGACACTGTATTCTTATGATGAGTGACGTGGTGTAATTGTTATCTGTGCGTTTTTGATACGTCACTCGTATTTTCCACATTATGATCACTTTGTAGCAGTACATTGTTGGCTTGATTCTCCTAACTTAACCACTTAACCATGTATGGTTCCAAGTATATTCACTCATGCTTCCAGAACTGCTTCCCAGTACACTCCCAAGGTGTAATTCTCCCCTAAAAGTCTAGCTCAATTTGTACGGGAATGCAACTACCTAATATTTTATTTATTTAATGTAGTTTTTTTCGTTATTTCCACTATTTCAGAGCATATAACTCCGATTACAAAGCTAATGCACGAGGAAGCAGGATGTTTTAAAATTGATTGTTGGGTTTTGGGCACTGCAGAGTTACTCTGAGTAACCCAAATGAGACACTGGAATGCAGCTCAGATCCAGTGATATGAGATTTGAAATTGCATAGACTAAAATATGTCAAATGCTCCAATCTAGCATCCAGCTGATATTGTTAGTATACTCATCCTCAGATCATTTATGGTCAATTGTTCTGGTCACCTGGTTAAAAAAAATGATAACCACTTTGTGAGCTTTCATACTAAGGATGTATATTTCACCACTCTTGTTCTGCGAATATTCATTTAGTTGCAAAATCATTAAAAAGGTACATAACATTTCAACAGCATGACGTCACCAATACGTTGAATACAGTAGTTATATTTTCACAAAAGAAGTGATCAAACAATATTATTTCTAGTATACTGTTCTGTTTGTACTGTTTATGGTTTTGGAATGATGTTTTTAACGGAGTAAATTTCATTAATCAAAACTGCTACTTTGGTTGTTAAGTAACAACTCATATTTGTCATGGATCTGACGTTAATTTCAGATTAACAAGGATACAAAAAAATAGAGAGAAAAAATATGCGGCAGACTATACCTTAGACATCTCTATTTTCTTTTTGTGCTTACAGATATGACAAATAGGTGTTGAGAGTAAAACTCGCTACAGGGCGCTACTTGACCCCACAGCGCTCGTGTGGACAAAACCGTGTGTGTGCCAGAGCTTCGAAAATGTACATACTTTTTCTAAAATCATATATATTTTTCTCCTCCCCCGATATTTTAATTTCTATATTCTTATGTGTTTCAGGGTGTGCGATATCTTTCGCTGATAATCGTAGATGGCACAGTTTTTCCTATGATACAAAAACATGCTTATCATTTTTGTGAACATTATTCAGCCCATTTGTATATTTTGGAAACGAAAATTTGTCGTGTATCATAGTGTGTGTCTGTTTTTGTATCATTGGAAAATGAAATGAGTCAATAAGTGGAGAATTGTTTGAAGATAACAGACACTTCAAGACTGTTATTTTAATTTGTTTTATCCCCAACAAATATATATTCAGTATTCACGTCTAATGCAGTATAAATTTGGAATATCCAATAACAAGCAGACAAGTAGGGATCACTAGCTTCAATTCTTATAAAGAAGAGCTGTCATTTATTTTCTCCACCTATTGCCGGCACTATTTACCTCTCCAGAGATATTTCGAATATGTTTTAGGGATTGAAAAATTTTCATGCCTCAGAAGATGAATAAAGTAACTTTGGCTCATTCAACATTGCAAACATTGTGCCCTAACATAATGCAAAGCACATCTTGCAATGTTGTGTGAGAAGTGCAGCACGCACTGTGAAGTTAACTTTTTAATATTAAAAGCATTTATTTTCCTTGACTTTAAATGACAGAGGTAGCAATGAGGGAATGAATTAACAGGGAAACGAAGGAAATGTGCATGCATATTTCTGTCTAATTCTTTTTCACTTAATAAGAGTATGTTGCGTTGCGTTATTACCTAAACACGCTTTTTTCAGATAATGAATCTTTCATGTTTTGAAACAGCGAAATGAGGTGCTACAGCAACACAACGTACGCGTTAATATTATTTACCTGTTATGAGGGACCTTTAGCTGGTTTGAAGATAACCATGTGCGTACTTTCACAGCTGATTGCTTAACTATTTGACGCAGTTTTGCTTAAAATGACAGATTTATGCATGCAAAGTTATCAGTGTTTGTATAAAATTTCATTTTAAAGATATTTTAAAAATGGGCTATCTGTAGATCTACCTATAATATGAATAAACGCTCACTCAATATTAGATAGGGGACTCTTCCTCACTGGGACGCCACGGCAACGTCGGAACATCAATTGAAATATATGACAGGTTCCTGACATGGTGACTGTTGGTGACATTTTGGCGTCCAGTGCCACTTATTTCTACGTCTATCAGCTGTCATATATTGCAATAGTTTAGTAGTTTGACAAGGATAATCACACGTCGTCGCCTTGACGACACAGCGATGGAGAGCTCATATTGTTGCAGCTCAAGACCTGAAAACGAATGATCTTTTCAAAATGCAATCTACAACAGTTTAAAAATCATACCATACAGATAGGCTACTACTAATACCATTTGTCAAAATAAAAATATGTCTGTGGCTGAGAGGTAGGCAAAGTTCAACCTAACTTTGATGGACATTGGTTTACCTCGCAGTACAGCTATTCATTGTTCAATGATTCCTAAATTATTAAGAGCAAACACTGGTAATGTTCCATCAACTCTGAAACTATTTAAATTCATCACATTTTTATGTTTGTTGTAGGTATCCGGGAACAGTACAATTTCGCATATGATTTGGTGCAGACTGGAGAGGTTATTACAGGTGAGAGATAAGTTTTATATTTTGAGTTAATTTTACGGGACACCCTCTTTCTTGCAATACTCTAAATATTGATTCTACAGTAATGGACAAAAGTATATAGACAAATTAATATTGTGCTGTATTTCTTTTTTAACTTGTTTTATTAATACACCAACCTGTATACATAATTCGTTATAGCATAATCATCACTTATACATAAATAAATTCATTAGACTCCCTTAAATAAAAAATTAATTGAAAAAAAAACTGGAACTATGAAGGACAAAAATATATAGACAAAGCAAAACAATTATAGAAAAAAGAAGAAAAGTTCATTGAATTATAGAAAACCAACCATGTTTGTGTTAATATTTTGTAGCATAACCATTATTATCAATCACAGCCTGGCATCGTCTCGGCATAGATTGTAGAAGTTTCTTCATATAATATTCATCAATCTGTCTCCACTTTTGCTCTAAAGCAGCAAAAAGTTCATCCTTGTTTGAATAATTTTTATCTCGTATTTGCTTATGTAAGTATTCAACTAGATTTTCAATGGGGTTTATATCGGGAGACTGTGAAGGCCATTTCATCCAGAAAGAATTTCTTTGCGAGATTTGGAAGTGTGCTTCGGGTCATTATCTTGCTGGAAGATTGATCTTAAGGGCATATTGTCTTCCATATAGGGTAACATGACATGCTTTAGTATATCTGTGTATACAAACTTATCCATAATGCCATCTATTCTATGTAAAGGTCCCGCCCCTAATCCCGAAAAGCACCCCCAAACCATAACAGACCCGCCTCCATGTTTGACAGTGGGTAAAGTGTACTTGAGGTCCAATCTTTGTCCACTAGGACGTTTAACGTAATGAACACCATCTGATCCAAACATATTGAACTTGGAACATACCCTCTTTCAGTCGCAGATGCTCCAATCAAGATGCAACTATACTAAATTAATGTTGAAAAGAATTTGTCTACATATTTTTGTCCTTCATAAAAAAGTGCTTATATTCAGACTTGTATTGTGTCCATTGCAGATGATGTAAAAACGAGGAACTTAGTGTTTCTACTAATAACGCATTTGTTTATGGAGCAATAAAATATGAATTCGTTTTCTAAAGGTATTTAGGTAAATATTCATATTTGTCTATATACTTTTGTCCATTACTGTATATTATCGTTTTTTTAATTTTGCTTTGAAGATAATTTGCATGTTTTTCTTTACTAAATTATACATCGTGTCCAAGCTGAAATAAAGTAATATACATTCGAACCAATGAAGTCAGACTAGGTAGAAGGAGCAAGTATACAATTTGTTTGTAACAATCATTGACAGTTCCTACGAAAACATGTAAAAGTGCGTGGGTTCCATACAATCCTAGTGTTCCAGGCAACTGCCGAAAAATGGTTTCTGTGAATTGCAAAAAGTAGATTAAACTGAATATGAGCCAATGTTTTAACCGATAACTGCTATTTATTACAGTCATCAGTGTTGCGAAAGGGCTTGTACAGGGTCGCCAACTAAGAATGCTAGGTACTGTATCTGGGAGCTTATCCATCGTAGAGCTTGCGGCAAAAAAGTTTTTACTAAAACGGACAAGAGAACTGGGAAAATATTTTCTAGTTTCTGAAATGGCCGCTAGTTGCAATCTTGAATCTGAAATAGTGATGTCTCTGTTATATAACCCAACAAACTTGGAATAGTCGAAAAGAGCTATTTTTGGGCTACAAATGTTATAATATTTGAAGGTTTGTTAGTTTCACATGTGGCCGCTAGAGGTTTTTTTTCGACATTCCGACAGAAATGGTTAATTTTCTAGAAAAAATTAAATGCATTGGTATGATTTTTTTCTAATGAAAAAGTAGCTAAATGATGTCTTTGCAATCTCTCGAAAACCGCATCTCGATATCTTGTTCCTAACCTAAAATTTAGGCCAAAGAGGATTTTATACGGACATTATTTTTTCAAACTAATTTTTCTGGATTTTCTTTTTATTATTAAGGGACGATTTAAAAAGAATGTTTTTTATTGCCGCCGTAAGTGCTCGAAATTTTCCTGGAGCCTCTCAGGGTGGACAAAACTGCAGCTTGAATTTCGGTTCTCGGTATGTTACATATTGCATTACGAATCCGGGTTCAAACATCACTTTTTTCCCAGATACGGTACCTAGCATTCTTAGTTGGCCACCCTATACACACTGTTGCACTTAGTGGATGATTACCAGTACGCATGAAACGGCGGTGTACGCCATTGGTCAGGCAGTATTAGTAGTTTTAAATTGAGTAAAAAAAAAATAACAAAAACCCGTAGGTCCTGGCGCAAGGAGTACAACCGTAGCAGGCATCTTGGGTCCCCTGCCAAGGCTATCTACAGACGATTCAGAAGCAGTTAGCAAGGCTAAGAAGTACGCGATGGAACAGAGCATAAGGATGGTGCTCATGAAACAAACGATAGCATATCAGCAACAGGTGGGTTATCCTTTACTTGTTTTTGACATACAAGTTAAAATAAAGAAAGTTAAAAACGTATTCAATGTCACTACGGAGTAAAACAGTTTTTTTACGGAGAGGTTTTTTCTTACACGATCGAATCTTTCACATGCGAGGGTAGGAAATAATTCATAGAATTTGATTTCCAATTGTGTCCATGTTACCAAATGTTCATTAGATATCAGTATGTGATGTACCAGTTTTTTAATTACGAATAATTGAGATAGCTTTTACCACTTAAATTTATATGATAAAATTACTTATACTTATTACTAAAATTGTTTTTAGATTGAAAAATCGTTTTTAATTTATCTGGAATATTGATATGATTTGAATTAATCCATACACGTTTTATCTATTATTACAAACTTCGAAATATGAAAATTTTGCGACGCGCGTTGAAATATGTTATGTAGGATTGATAATTAATTGCATTATTAAGGGGAGCTTCTGATAGTGAATATCCTTGTGACAGTTGAAGAGTGCGGGTTGGGAACGTCTTTTGATGTGGAGGCGCATGTCTTAGGTCTAGCAGGGTAATTTTCGCACCAAGGTACCATTTTATTGCAAACATATTACAGTCTAGGGTGGCGTGGGCGCTCCCATGTTCCTGTCTAAATCTGCCAGTGGTTATTTATTTACTGTATATTCATTTACATTGAGAAATCATAGTTAATCTTTTTCTATAATATACAGGGTGGCGCATCGAAAACGAAACGGACGCATTTACTGGCAGCTCAGTTTTTTTTTGAAAAACGGTGATAAATCTGGCGATCTTGGGGGGCATTAAATGGCACCTCTTCTACCAATCCATCGATCTGGAAACGTCTGATCTAAATATTGTCGAACACGTAATGCGTAATGTGGTGGGGCATCATCCTGTTGGAACATGAACCTATTCGCAATGTACCGCCGATCATTCTGATTTTCAAATAATTGAGCCATAAGGCTGTTAATGCAGGATCTAAGCGTCTTCCAGTAATTCAAAATACATTTCACCGGTCAAATTTCCAGGAAAGAAAAAAGGACCAACTAAATGATAGCCAAAAATACCAGCCCAAACATTTAATTTTTGTGGCTGCTGTGTATGAACATCATGATAAATTCTGGGATTAGAATCGGACCAATATCGGCAGTTATGACGATTTACTACGCCATTTAAGAAAAAGGAACATTCGTCGGAAAAGCAAGTGCTGAATAGAAAATGTTCATCGTTTATAATTCGTTCACTCATATCTTCACAAAATTGTAATCGCCGATCAAAATCGTCTTCATTAAGTTCTTGTACCAGGTGAATTTTATACGGATGGAAACTATGTGCCTTTAGAATCCGATAGACAGTACGTCGACTAACACCACACACAGTCTCCAATTTGCGGGTACTTAACGTAGGATCTACATAAACTTGCCCTAAAACTCCCTCTTCTATTGCTTCGTTCCTTATGGGATTTTCAATGTTGCGTTTATTCATTGGCGACTGACCCAGTTTCCCGAAATTTCGCTACAAATTCTAGAACATATTTTCGATGCACGTTTCTGTTCTCATGTCGCTCATTAAATATTTCTGCTGTTCTATTAGCGCACTGATTATTTCCGAAAAATATTTCGATAATTTCAACTCTTTCTGCTGTGGTTAATTTATGTAATAAAGCGTTACAAGTTATTTTAGCAACAAAGTTTGGTCAAATCAATCGCAAACTATGTACTAAATTCCTATGTAAAATAAGTACGAGATATTTCCTTATCTTCAAGAAATAATTTTTTTGCCACAAAAAAAAAAAAACGCTCCAATAGCTATTTTCAACAACAAAATGATAAGCAAACCATGGGAGTAGTGAAGAAAAGCATTTAATTATTAAGTAAATTCTTTTAGTCAAATTTATTCTGAAAGTAGTACAAACTAATCTGATGTACCTACTAAAGTCTACTTTTAGCTTTAAATCAATAAATCTTCAAAACTACTGAACTGAAGTACATTAATTTTATATCATTATAAAGGGAATTGAAAGACCTTTAAAATAAGGTATCACTCGACCCCCCTTTCCATTTAAGATTTTAGGGTTGGTGTCACCCCCGCCCAGGAGGCTGCACGTGTTAACGTGATTTTTTGCCAAACTTGTGTCCCCCTCGAAAACAAAATCGACGGGTCTGAGCGTTTTTCAAAAAAAAAACTGAGCTGCCAGTAAAAGCTTTTACAAAAAAGTACGTAAGTAAATAATTCTGGTTAGTTGCATTTTATATGTCACTTGGTATGAAAAGATAATAGTTAAAATGAGTATTGTATTACCCAAATATCAAGAACTGCGAACGTGTCATATTTTGAGTTCAATATCATTCATTCAAAATTCTTATTATATTTTCATCTAGCGCTGACCTTTAAGGTTGCCATTTGATTTGATCGATCACAGTTTGCTGTATGTGTTAAAATAAACAATACATTCAAAGTAACATGTGTTCATGTTTAAATTTGGTAATGATGGGTAGTTTCATATCTTGGGATCTGGATTGGGCCTGGGTGGTTCTCTTATTGGAATGACCAAGGTTGTAAGTTGGTTTTGTTATAAAAACCACGAGGGAAAGAAAATGGCACTATTTTTTATAGTGTCTTTAGTAATAACGGCCGCGTTTATCAGAACTAGTTCTGCGAATAATCCATCTAGACGGAAATTATGGCAATCTTAAAGAATTCATATATGATGCCTTACATCCTCTCTTGTACCGATTTCGATTGTCTAACTGGGACTTTTATGCTTCACAGAAAGATAAGACCTTCCAGAGACATCAAGTATTACTTTTAATGTGCAGGTTAGTGCGTTGTGTACCGACGACTTATTATGCCGTCGAGTGTTCGTATAACATATTCGCACGTGCCCGCTCCTAAGGGGGCGAGAGTCGTCCCCCCTTGAACGATGTACATGGCACGCTCATGGGCCCCTCGCTCAACTATCCAGAGCATATCGAAATCAGATACACTGATACGCTTTTGATTCAAAGTTTCGGTCTACAATAAAAAAACTAGGTCTCAACGTTTTCACATTACATTGGAAATTGTGCAATTGACATGAAAGTATCTGCAGGTATTAATTTTAACTCATTATTAACCCAGCATGATACCCAAAATGTTAGAGGATCCTATTTCTGTCAATTGTTTTCGTTCAATTCGTAAATTGACAAGCAAATACGAAAACTGGAGTAGGGGTCTTATGTGCGCGTTGTGGGATGAAAACTTGGTGATTCGAAAAAACAAAAGAAAAAGGAACAAGATATTAGTAATTTATTTGATCGTGGCACATGCCCTCCTCTTTTGCAGCGTGAGGCTAGTCAGAGGACTCTGATCCAGAGGCAGCAGGCTCTCGCCCTTATGAGCAGGTTAGACATATACCGAACATTATACCTATACCTGGAAAGTGTACATTGTTGAGGCGTAGGTACAATCCGTAATACCTAAAATAAAAAAATACAAAGCTTGTTGGTCCTTGACATAGTATACAAATTTCATACGAATCCTAGCAGTACTTTCCAAGTTGTAGACGAGCCAGACAGACCAAAGGAAACGGGCGACATGGTGTTTTTTTTAATGTACATGTATAACATCCAAAAAACATAACACATTTACGAAATATTTCGCGGTTACAATGCTTTCTCGTTAGTAGGCATAGAAACTAAAAATAACAAAAGAAAACTGCATGGTAAGATGGTCTTAACGTATTATAGGTTCGATTCCCACAATTGAAATAGTATATTTTTTTAGTAATTGTAGAATTACTCAAAAATTGCTGCTATAAATAATTAACTTTTGATGTGTTCTTCTATTCAAGTAAGATAAATATGATGATTGCATTTTAGAATTGATGTGTTTTTGACGCTTTATGACTGTGAAAACAGTAATACTGGTATATTTAAAAAATACATGATACCTGTACATGAAGTGGTATTGTAGAATTTTATTTTCTGATTATATTTGAGCATAGTGAAGAAAGCTAACTATACCAACAATGTACACTTTCCTGTGATAAGTTTGGTGAACTCTTTTAACATGCATGCTTTTTGTTATTTGTTATATCTGGTAAGTAGTTTCCTAAAGTTCACTGTAACATGATGATGAAAAATACACTTGAAGTTGTCGAGACTTTTCTCCGACTCATGATCAGTGTTTAGCTGATAAGATCTGATTACAGTTTGACAATATTTTTGCTTGCCTTTGTGTAAATTGAAGTTAATTTAAATATAATAAAAAACATAGATTGCGAATGTATCCAAGTTTATGTCATCACTCTTTCCAAGTTCTACTCTTAAACACCCCAAGGTTTCTATTTTCACACTTGAACGTGAGGAGTATTTGTTTGTTATTGAAAATATTTTCGAATTTCAACGTACTAGTTAGCACACCTCGAGTTGTTCAAAACTTATCATTGCATTTCCTGAAAATTGGTATCAAAAACAAAATTTCCAAATCCATCTATTCTGTAGTTTTGGTCACTCATACAACGCAAATTCCACACAAAATGAAGTAATCAAAATATCTAGGTGACATAAACTTGATATTGTCAAATAATACGATTCAGAATTTTGGGCCATTATATACAATGATTTGAATTGTACATATAAAATGAATCTTGACAAAAACGAAATATAGCCGAATGTCGGGGTAATAACCAGGCCAACCTGCAATTCACAGGGTGTACGTGGGTAGCATCAGCTTTGAATTGAAAGAAGATACAATCCGACAGTCGTTCTTGCCTTTTGGACCCATCAAGTCCATCAATATGTCATGGGACCCTGTCACGCAGAAACATAAAGGTTTCGCCTTTGTGGAGTACGAGATACCTGAGGCTGCACAGTTGGCTTTGGAACAGATGAATGGCGTCATGTTGGGTGAGTTACTTTCGATATTGAATATATTGTAATTGAAGAAGTGCATATATGATATACCCACATTGTTTTGTTTGTCAGAAACAGTGTCACAAGTTTAAACCTTTTTTCAGGTGGGAGGAACATCAAGGTCGTCGGAAGACCTAGCAACATGCCTCAGGCTCAAACGGTAATTGACGAGATCCAGGAGGAGGCAAAACAATACAACAGGATATACGTGGCATCAATTCATCCTGATTTGAATGAGGATGACATCAAAAGGTAAAAAAGGAACAGGGAACAGTGCTATTGTGTCTTGAAAATTATCCTCTCTGTGTAATTATTTATTCATTCATCGTTCGCGATAGTTTTTTGAAAATATTAAACATTAGTGTTAGCATTGAATACCCATGGCGATTTTTACAAATGTCAATGATTTTTTTATTTTTCTTTTCAGTGTATTTGAAGCGTTTGGTCCCATACTTTACTGCAAGTTGGCACAGGGTAGTACCGGAAGTCGTCATAAAGGGTATGGCTTTATCGAATATGAAACACCGATGGCTGCGAACGAAGCGATAGCAAGCATGAACTTGTTCGATTTGGGCGGACAGTACCTTAGGGTGGGCAGGGCTATCACGCCTCCGAATGCTCTGTTGGGGCCTTCTAGTGGCGCTAGTGTCATGCCTACTGCAGCTGCTGGTGAGTTTTTGTGAATTGGTCAGATTTTTGTAACAAGAAAGGAATTTTCAATTGCCTGATAGTGATAATGATTTTCTGACGTAACTGCTTCTGATGGCGCGGCGCTTTCACAGGAAGTAATCGCAAATTCTGATTATTATATTGGAAACAATATCAGAAGGTTATAAATCCCAAAACAGTCCTTATTTTATCATGGTTCCTTAATATCTCTTAACTACATTGCATTTGTATTTGATAAAGCAACTATCTTGATGTAATTTATAGAAAAACAGAGTATAACCTTATGTGTACATGGAGCTAAATACCATAGATGAAAAGGTTCGTTTTTTGAAATTCAAGAAAAAATTCAATATCTCAAAAACGGTGACACTTTTATATAGGTAGGTTTTTGTTATTTGGGACAGTCCAAAGCCTACCTTCTCCTTAAGTTTGTTGTGGTACTTATTATATATATATATATATATATATATATTAGATGTTTAAAATAGCCCATGATTAATATGTTTATCTCCTAGAATATTGTAGTGGTATTGCAAATCTATTTGTGTATCAATTGAGAACCTAAGTTCATTTTATCATAGTAAAGAAAAGCGCGTGTTTTCATCTAATTTTTCTTTCCAGTTGCTGCTGCAGCCGCTACCGCGAAAATTCAAGCAATGGACGCCGTTGCAAGTAACGCAGCAGCCTTGGGGTTATCGGCATTAACGAAAACTGTAACACTGCCTACTGTTGCGCAGCCTGCTGCTGCTATAGCACCCGGCTTGGTAGCTCCAGTAGCTGCTAAATGTAAGTTTTAATATCAGACGGGCGCTCGTTTCGTAATAGTTTTAATGAATTTATTTGTCATATACGAAGCTTTGCACGAAAGTTCTTTGGAGTTGTTTTCTGTTTTCCAGTGTATAACTGTACCTGTACCCAAGTGCTCTGTGTAGGAGAAAAAATATGTTTTGATAATTATAGCTCTGCCCCGATATCTCTCAGCTATATTATTGGCACTGTTTTTATTCCCATATCTTTTTGCTTCTCTTACGTGTCATTTACAGTGTGCGGAAGTATAACTTCGTTTTTTAGAATGAGGTCTCGTTCGAGAGGCGGGACTATATTATGTCCTGACACAGTTCAGTCGCCATCATGCGTCGAAACAGTGAGGAACGTGGTTTTGCCGTTGAGATTTACTTTTCGAGCGGATGTTCTGTAATTGCAACTCAGCTCGCCTTTCGGATTAAATTTTGCCCCGGTTGGCCCCTGCCCCGGACCGGAAATCAATCGTTATGTCGGTGACTTCTTTAAGACAAACTGCCAGTGCGACAAGACGAAGAATTGGAGTCCCTAGGCCCATTAGATCACCTGAAAACTTTGAGGCAGTGAGAGCTTCACTGTCGCGCAAACATGCGTCAACCCTTGGTCAAGATGTCACCAATCCTCAAGAATTGCATCAAAGGCCTTTGCATTCATCTAAAGTCACAGTGTGGTGTGCAATTTCCGCAGTTGGAATTATTGGTGTCTGTTTTTTTTTTTGAGGAAAATGAAGTCGTAGAGCGAGTTAATTCGGACCGGTATGTAAACTGAATTTTTCCACGGCTAGATGAGTTGGACTTACGTGACATTTGCTTTCAATAAGATGTTTCAATGGCACATACTTTAAGAGCATCGATGGTTGTGTTGAGGGAACACTTCCCAGAGCGCCTCATCTCAATTAGGGGCGATTTGGAGTGGCCGGCCCGCTCTCCTGAGTTGGCCCCCTTTTGATTTTGTTCTATAGGGTTTTTTGAAATTCCGTGTTTATGTGAACCGTCCAGTGACCCTACAAGTTTTGAAAATCAACATCCAGAAATCGGTTTACCCAGTGTATACTATATAAAACAAAGTTCTGATTCGTACAGTGGGTTCTATTAATTTTTGAAAAAAAGGAATTAATGCTGCTGCACCCTGTACCTCCAGGGTTTCCATAATTTAAACTGCTTTATGTTGAAGCAACATTTGTTAAGTTTTTCTTTTTTAAACAGTAGGTGTGCCAGTAGTGGGTGCCCCAACAGTAGCTGGTGTGATTCCTCCGCCAGGAATAGCTATTCCTCAAATAACACCAAATAATACGATACAACCCGCCATTATCCAACCAACGGTAGCTGCAGCTCCAGTTATTATTCCACCACCCACGGTTGTTACACCGACGATATCCACACCAGTCTCCAACGAAGCCATGCTTAGGTAAGATTACAAGCACGTTTTCCAAAGTTCTACTGCCCTAATCATCTAAAACCCGATGTAGATATAACTAATTTGTACTACTAAAGTATCTATATTGTCTGTATACCTGACCATGGGTGTGGTTGATGCATTTTGTCATGGTGAGAAGTGTAACGTACCGGTTTATATTTGCGGTTGCTATTTTTTTTTTAGGGCCAAAGAAGCAAAACTGAAGCAACAAGAGGAACTACAGAAGAAACTATTAGACCAAAGCGAACCACAAACGTTACAGCAACAGGAAAATATGTCAATAAAAGGACAGAATGCAAGGCATTTTGTAATGCAGAAACTGATGAGAAAAGTAGAATCTAGAGTTATTATTTTGAGGTAAGTGGATATATACTAAGTGACATATAAATCCGAACACCCAGTTTAAATGGTTTTATTTTAATAAAATTTTGTATAAGTACTTAATAAAGCATAATAAGTAAATGATAAAAATTTCAAAATGATTGCACTGCTTTAAAGCCCTTTGACCTTTAATAATGTGTGGATGCACCCTGATGTGCTACGCATTCTCCAACGCGCCTAGGCATGCTTCTGATCAGGTGGTCAATGTCCTCCTGTGGTATCTCATTCCAGGCAACCACCAACTCCTCTCGAAGTGCTTCTAGAGTCTGAGGAGGACGTTGCAAATTGAGCAATCTCCTACCCATCATATCCCACACGTGCTCAATTGGGGATAAGTCGGGAGATCTTGGTGGCCATGGTAACAATGTGACATCATTATGTTGAAAGAAGTCTATTGTGACTCTTGCAACATGTGGTCGGGCATTATCTTGTTGGAAAGTTGGATCTGCCAGGGTGTCAAGATAGGGTAAAAGATGGGGTTCTAGAACTTCGTGGATATAACGCTGCGCGTTCATGTTACCTCTGATGAATATTAAAGGTGACCTGGAACCATAAGCTATAGAACCCCAAACCATAACTCCAACAGTGTGATGAACATGTCTTTCAACAAAAAACTGTGGATTCCTCCTTTCACCACGTCGCCTTCTAACCCTGGCACGACCATCGTGCATGCCTAAACAAAATCGAGACTCGTCACTAAAGACAATACTGTTCCATTCCTGAACCCACAGTGACCGTTGTCTGCACCACTCAAGGCGATTACGTCGGTGTTCTCGAGTTAAAGGGAGGACCCAGTGTGGCCGGTATGAAAGCAAGCTAAAACTTTTCATTCGTCGGTAAACACTTCGCATGCCAATAGGTCTTCCGTGTTCTGCAAACCATTCATTTGCAATGGACCTGGTAGTGGAGAAACGGTCCCTTAAGGCCAATACTCTTGGGCGGCGATCTTCACGGTCTGTTGTTCTACGGCGGCGTCCAGTGCCCCTTGCTCTTTGCGTACGGCCTTCTCGAAGCCATGCCTTACAACACCTAACCACAGTGTCTACACTTCTTTGCACTCTAACTGCAATTGCCCGAAAAGAAAGTCCCGAAGTCCCACTATACGGCCCCTATCAAACTCACTAAGTTGACGAAATCGTACAGGTCTCCGTACTCTAGGCATCGTAACCGATCGCAAAGGATGTCAAGAACCAAAATCCGCCAACGTTGATTATTTACTGCGGCTGAAATATTCATTTTTAGAGCGCTAGTGAATTAAAAAAAGCAGTATAAAAACCGGAATGTCGAACTGATAAGGCGGAACATTTTTTCACTTGTTATTTACAGTAAGATAAATACATTCACCAACTTTTATTAAAATAAAACCATTTAAACTGGGTGTTCGGATTTATATGTCACTTAGTATATTTACAGATTTGTTTCAGCATATATTATTGTTCCAGAGAAATATTTTTTGAGAATATTGCAGAACATGTTTTATTAGTTTCTTGAACCTGTTTATTTGTTTTAGGAATATGGTGGGGCCAGAAGATGTAGACGAAATGTTACAAGAAGAGATCCAGGAAGAATGCAGCAAGTTTGGAGCTGTTGAACGGGTGATAATATACAATGAAAAACAGTCCGAAGAGGATGACGATTCAGAAATTATCGTGAAGATCTTCGTGGAATTTAGTGAAACGTTCGGTGAGTCACTTTAAAACAAAACTTTACAACGTTTTTCATCTTTTAATGAAATTTGTACAGCTTAGGCCCGTATCGTCAGTCGTCCCTACAATTGTAGGGCGCGTTTATGGCCTCCTTGATTGTCATAGTTTTCTACTTCTCCGTGTCAGAACTCTATTTTGAGGTTATGTCACAAACATCTATTTGCATCAAATTGTGCTTGCTTTTGAGTTATATCATGTTTTATCGGCCTGAAATTTCCTACAATTTAAAAAGAAAACATATCTTCACAATAGGAGAGCGCTGACGCTGACATGGCACAAGTGTAATCTAGAAATTTTTGAAGGATAGAAAGGAGTATGACAATCAAGGAGGCCATAAAGGTGCCCTACAATTGTAGGGACGACTGACGATACGGGCCTTAATCAAATAATAAGCGATATACTTACTATTGCATGTTTATTTCAGTTTTGCATAAAAAGGTGTTGGGTTATACCAAAAAATAGTTATTTATTATACAAGGGAAGAAGTACTAGATTTTTCCCGTGTATAATTCTCAATCTTTTTCTGTGACGGGAAAAACGACGAATTAATATTGGAAAATTATATTATTATAATATTTTAAGTCAGAAAATTATCGATGAGAAATTTGGATTTTGAAATTAGTAGGCTATGCTGTACTTATAGCGACAATTGGACCTGCGTTGCTAAGGAAACTTTTAAAGTAATCAAATAGCTGTCAGTTTACTTTTGTGATTTGATTTAAAAATTGTGAACTTAGTGGTTGTTTAGAAGTTATTTTTACTATAAAGTAAAGAATGTCGGATTTCGAGTGTCCTTTGATTCCACCGGAATTAGTAGCAGTAGCCAAAATAGCGTCACAAAAATTATTGCCAGCTAAATGGCGGAAAACTACGAAACAATATCCGGGAAAAAAGTAATTTCATAAAGTGACATTTTGTTACCTGTCAGCAGAGATAAAATGTCAAAATTTTTTACCGTCACAGAAAAAATATATTTCATTGATCAGATGCAAATTTTAAATTTAAATTTTTGTATTGTCCTAACTAGGGTAAATAAAATAAATAATACATTTTGAAAAACAAGGCATTTGTTTAGCTGTTAATAGAGTGCTGGATTTGAATTTGCCGCCATTTTTTTGTACAAACGATGTGTTTACTTAATGACAGCTGTCATGTCCAGACCACGCGATTAGACGTCATGGAGCAGTATTCAAACGAGCAACGTTTAATTATTGTGAAAACTCACTACAAAAATGGAGAACATTACGGGGAAATAGTTCACAAATTACGTACAATGTTCGATCCGCAATAATGCACCGAATGAGTCGACAGCTCGCCGTTTGATTACAAAATTTGAGGCAAAATTCACGTTGCTGAATGTGAAGGCCACTGTTCGTCGGTCCCTTGAAAATATAGTCGCAGTGCGGGAAAGTGTGACCGAGAACCCAGGCACTTCCATTCGGCATCGTGGCCAAGAATTAAACCTTACCAGACCCACTCTGCAACGAATTTTGACGAAAAATCTATGCTTGCATGCGTACAAGGTCCAACTGACGCAAGAACTCAAGCTAACGGACCATGCGCAGCGTCGTGAATTCGTTGATTGGACGCTGGAGCACCAACAAATTGATGCGGATTTCTCGAAGAAAATCATTTTCTCTGATGAGGCACATTTTCAACTGATCGAGTACTTCAATAGGCAGAACTGCCGAATTTGCGGTTCTGAATACCCTCGTGTAATAATCGAACAACCAATGCATCCGCCGCGAGTTACCGTTTGGTGCGCATTGTGGAGTGGCGGAGTGATTGACCGTATTTCTTGCAGCTGAAACTGCGGTAACTAACGGTGTGCGTTATCGCGAAATGTAAAGCGAGTAATTGTGGCCCCAGTTAGATCGAATTGATGTGGAGGATATGTTCTTCCAACAAGACGGTGCTACCTGCCACACAGCACGCGAAACAATTGTGTTACTGTGGACCAAGTTTCCAGACCGTGTCATCTCTCGGTTTGGCGATCAAAATTGGCCACCAAGTCCGTGCGATATATCGCCAATGGACTTATTCCTCTGAGGCTATGTGAACGAAAAGCTGGGTGCAAACAAGCCACAAACAGTTGAATGCCTTAAAGAAGAGATACGGCGCGTTATCGACGAAATAGGGCCACAGTTGTGCGAAAACGTTACCCAGAATTTTAAGAAAAGACTGACCCTGTGCCAGAGGTTTCGCGGTAGCCATTTACCGGATGTCATATTTCATGTTTAATCGCAACCATTCCTCTTCATGTTGAAATATAATTCGAAAAGAAATTGTGTTTTTCTTGAAAATCAAATCCGGCGCTCATATTGAGACACCCTTTACATGCTAACATACTAACAAGTTTTAAAAATTGCTTTAATAAATAACGTTACAGTGTTTTTCTTCCTTTTTTCAGAAGCTGAAAAAGCAAAGGATGCTCTGAATGGCAGATATTTCGGTGGCAGAATGGTGCGCGCTGCGTTATACGAGCAGACGTTATTTGATCACAGTGATTTTTCAGGTTAAATGTTAGTATAATATCTCTTATAAGTGTAACGAAATCATTCTTTTGTATGAAGTTCTGTACTATTTGCGAGTGAGCTTCTTATGTAGCTGCTAAAAAGTTTCGTAAGTTTTACAGTTTTTTCTAGTTTGATATTCTAACCTTTTGTATATTTCAGTCACTAGGTTAGATCAAGGTTATCTTTGATTTTGAACTTAGAAAAATAGATACTGCTACTTGTTTTGTTATTATTATTATTTATTGGCAGTCAAGTTGAAATTCCAAGGTTTTTTTTTGGAAAAAAGTGTTAAGAATTACATTACTAAAACAACAGATTTATCGATAGCTGTCATTCATTATCAAATAAACAGATATAACAGTCGTTATAATAACTGTTTTTATGTATTTTGCAAGTAAGCGACTATTTTTATCTCAGACTCTTAGAAAATACACTTGAAAGTTCAAACTACGATCCTGCATAGGCAGGAAGTTGAACCGGTTTCTACATATAAAAATATTTTTGGAAAATTCCGTCACAGAATCAAGTAAATTTTTCTAGAAGTCCACGTCCTTGTCATTGAATATAGTATCAAGTCACCTAATACAGATGCATTCCAACTTTTGCACTATACTTTTCTGTTTATGTCCGGAAAGTAAAAAACCTTTTGAACCGTCTATATCAGATTTTGCTACCTTTTCCTTTTTTAAATTGTAGATTTCTAGAATATACACTTGCTCAGTGATAAAATATTGGCTTTTAACATATTTTATAAACGGGTTTTAGTTGGATTGCATCTTTAAATTTAGATGGGCAATATACTGTTTGCTCTGGTGGGTATCATAACTTTGTTTTCTGTTCTCTAAACTTGTGTTAAAAATATTTTTGCAAATATGTAGACCTGTCAACTGGTTTGTATAATAGCTACCGAAATGCTGTGATGAAGTCTTTAGGTAAAACAATATTTATATAATAATCAACTGTAGTTTGTTGAACTCTTGATCAATTAAGAGGAAATACATTTTGAAGAGAAATTTCGAACATGATTCTGTTCCTCTGTTGCAACTATCATTAAATTTTATATTGTATATGGTAACTCTTTTGTAAATAAAATATACAGTAGAATATTTTATTTTTTATTTCTAACCCCTTTCGAATCCAATGCGTCCTCCCCTCCCCCACAAGAGTTTGAAAAGATAAAAATGAAATGTCTGAAAAGTTTAACTTCAAGTCTTGGGCATACATAATTATAGCACTACAACAGCCAGTGGCGGTTGCAGGGAGTCTGGACATCCGCCGGAATATCAGACTTAAAAAATGCATGTTTTTTAATCTTGCGACGACCACCCTCCCGCTCTTCAATTTTCAATCTGCGATATAATAATAATAATAATAGCGTTTATTTGCAGAGCAAAAATACAAAGAGAAAAAAATTAAAAATGAAACAAAATGAATTCCCTGCAAAAGGGACTAATAAACAGACGAGCTGATCAAAGTACTAGCCCAACAAACAAAATTACAACAGAGGAGTACTTAACCAAATTAATATTAATAATAAATGAATAATAATTATACACGTCAAAAAAATATGTATATAAAGAAATTATATATATAAAAAAATATAATTTGGAAAAAGGTCAAATCATTTTAGGCAGATTTAACAAAAAAAAAATATAAAATATAAAAAGGAAAGGAACAATATAAGGTAAACACTACAATTCATCTAATAGAAATTTTCTGTAACTTCTTTTAAAAGCTGACACAGACACAGACTTATGGTTTGTGGGGACGTAATTGTACAAGTGGTAGATAAAATGAGAAAAACATCTGTTAAACATAGATGTACGATGACGTGGTTGGGAAATCAGCTTCCGATACCGAACATTGATATTGTGAACATCACTTCGAAATTTAATCTTATTATATAAATAAGGTTGAGTTTTATATAGAATAATTTTATGAAACAAAACTGCTGAGTGCAGATTTCTCCTAGCTTCTATATTTAGCCATCCTATTACAGGTAACTTATAAGAAATATGTTCAAATCTTTTCACTCCAAAAATAAACCTAAGATAAGAGTTTTGGACACGCTGCATACGATCAACATCATACCTTGTTAATTCCAAATACATTTCACCGTTCAAATTTTCAAGGTAAGAAAAAATGACCAACTAAACGATCGCCAAAAATACCAGCCCAAACATTCAATTTTTGTGGCTGCTGTGTATGAACCTCATCATACATTCTGGGATTAGAATTGGACCAATATCTGCATGTTATGACGATTTACTACGCCATTTAAGAAAAAGGAACATTCGACGGAAAAGCAAGTGTTGATTAAAAAATGTTCATCGTTTATAATTCGTTCACTCATATCTTCACAAAATTGTAATCGCCGATCAAAATCGTCTTCATTAAGTTCTTGTACCAGGTGAATTTTATACTGATGAAAACTATGGGGCTTTAGAATCCGTTGAACAGTACGTCGACTAATACCACACACAGTCTCCAATTTGCGGGTACTTAACGTAGGATCTACATAAACTTGCCCTAAAACCCCCACTTCTATTGCTTCGTTCCTTATGGGATTTTCAATGTTGCGTTTTTATTGGCGACTGACCCAGTTTCCTTAAATTTAGCTAAAAGTTCTATAACATATTTTCGATGCACGTTACTGTTCTCATGTAGCTCATTAAATATTTCTGCTGTTCTATTAGCCCACTGATAATTTTCGAAAAATATTTCGATAATTTCAACTCTTTCTGCTGTGGAATATACCATGGTTAATTTATGCAATAAAGCGTTACAAGTTATTTTAGCAACAAAGTTTGGTCAAATCAATCGCAAACTATGTACTAAATTCCTATTTAAAATAAGTACGAGATATTTCCTTATCTTTCTTCAAGAAATAACTTTTCTGTCACAAAAAAAAAATGCTCCAATAGCTATTTTCAACAACAAAATGATAAACAAACCATGGACGTAGTGAAGAAAAGCATTTACTTATTAAGTAAATTCTTTTAGTCAAATTTCTTCTGAAAGTAGTACAAACTAATCTGATGTACCTATTAAAGTCTACTTTAAGCTTTAAATCAATAAATCTTCAAAACTACTGAATTGAAGCTCATGTATTTTACATCATTATAAAGGGAAGTGAAAGACCTTTAAAATAACTCTCGACCCCACTTTCCATTTAAGATTTTAGGGTCGGTGTCACCCCCGCCCAGGGGGCTGCACGTGCTACCGTGATTTTTTGCCAAACTTGTGTCCCCCTCGAAAACAAAATCGACGGGTCTGAGCGTTTAAAAAAACTGTGCTGCCAGTAAATGCGGCCGTTTCGTTTTCGATGCGCCACCCTGTATCTTACCTGCTTCAAAGTCAGTAGGATCTACATACAATAATATTATTTTGAGTTGTGATTATTTTCGAAGCCGGAAATATGAACTAACCGACCAATCAGCGCGCGCTTGACGGCAGTGGGCGGAGTCTACGGCTGTCGTAAAGACTCATCCCCTCTACAAGTTAGAACCGCCCGATCAATATAAATAGAGGCCACCGCAATTCCATAAGTACTGCCACAGTGTCGCGAAGATCGATCTAATGATGAATGAAGCGATACTTGAAGATGGTCTGCCTAGGTGCTCGACGCCTATTCGGAAATCGATGTACCGACCAAGACCAGCTGTAACACCGTTACCGATAATGAGGGTTACTCAAAGTTCCTCTGCAAGTTGGACTTTAAAGACGTGGCTTCGGGGGGCACCATGTGCAATTCCAGGGGTGCTCTCTGGAAAAAAAACGGCTCTTTTCAGAGCCACTATTTTATGTTCAATGAAAAAGATTATCTATTAGCCCTAGTGGTAATGTCATTAGAGATTTGGGGATTCATACCTTCTTGAAAGAATCAAATGGATGTCTATACATAATAGCGACGATTCCCTTGCAATACAGAAGTATCATCATATCTTACCTGGTTCAAATCCAGTAAGCTATACATACAACATTATTTACGGTTGTGATTGTTTTCGAAGCAGGAAATATGAACTAACCTACCGTGGCGCTGGTTTCTCCCTATAGATCCCCGGTCATATTATATCTCCTGCAGGGCTCCTCTGATGTCCTACTGCCACCAAAAGGATAAAATTTTGTCTTAAATCATTCCATCAATACCAATTTACATGTATTTCAGTGTGTAACTCACAGCAACAAAAACGACTGTGGAATGTATAAAAACATCAGTTTCTTATGGGGACTCAAAACCATTTCGAAGACAAAATAATATGTACCACAGGGCAATATACCTAATCAAGAATATCGGAGCTACAAACAATGATTAATCTAAAATTAGACTTTGCATATTTGCTTATTAATGGAGACAAAAGAAAAACTGCAATTGTTTTTGGCTATAAAAATATACTACTATACAAGATAAATAGTGCGAAACAGGTTTATAGTTTTTTTATTCGGACTGGTCAGTACAAGATGCAAAAATGGAATCACAGTTAAGGTTGATTCTCACTATACATTCCATTTCCATTCCATATCAGTTTCGTAAACGTTCCGTACAATGTGATTGTATACACAGTATACCTTACGGATAATGTGCATACACGCGCAATGGCGCAATAGCCTGCTTTAAGCGAGGGCGAATATTAAATTTCAATAATTTACGGAATGGAAACGGAATGTATAGTGAGAATCAAGTTTTATAATTCTTTTACATCAGAATTAGACAAAGTACATTTATGATGATCAGAAGAAATTAAAACCGTGTGAGCAATGAAATAGGTATGCGTAAGTAAACAAAATACAGGGTGGCGCATCGAAAACGAAACAGACGCATTTACTGGCAGCTCAGTTTTTTTTTGAATAACGCTCAGACCCGACGATTTTGTTTTCTAGAGGGACACAAGTTTGGCAAAAAATCACGTTAACGCGTGCAGCCCCCTGGGCGGGGGTGACACCAACCCTAAAATCTTAAATGGAAAGGAGGGAGGAGTGATACCTTATTTTAAAGGTCTTTCAATTCCCTTTATAATGATGTAAAATACATGAGCTTCAATTCAGTAGTTTTGAAGATTTATTGATGTAAAGCTTAAAGTAGACTTTAATAGGTACATGAGATTAGTTTGTACTACTTTCAGAAGAAATTTGACTAAAAGAATTTACTTAATAAGTAACTTGTAACGCTTTATTACATAAATTAACCATGGTATATTCCACAGCAGAAAGAGTTGAAATTATCGAAATATTTTTCGGAAATAATCAGTGCGCTAATAGAACAGCAGAAATATTTAATGAGCGACATGAGAACAGTAACGTGCATCGAAAACATGTTCTAGAACTTGTAGCTAAATTTAGGGAAACTGGGTCAGTCGCCAATAAAAAACGCATTGAAAATCCCATAAGGAACGAAGCAATATAAGTGGGGGTTTTAGGGCAAGCTTATGTAGATCCTACGTTAAGTACCCGCAAATTGGAGACTGTGTGTGGTGTTAGTCGACGTACTGTCCAACGGATTCTAAAGGCCCATAGTTTTCATCCGTATAAAATTCACCTGGTACAAGAACTTAATAAAGACGATTTTGATCGGCGATTACATTTTTGAGAAGATATGAGTGAACGAATTATAAACGAACATTTTCTATTCAACACTTGCTTTTCCGTGGTATTTTTGGCGATCATTTAGTTGGTCCTTTTTTCTTACCTGGAAATTTGACCGGTGAATAGCCATAATTGAAAATCAGAATGATCGGCGGTAAATTGAGAATAGGTTGATGTTCCAACAGGATGGTACCCCACCACATTACGTGTTCGACAGTATTTAAGCAGACGTTTCCAGATCGATCTATTGGTAGAAGAGGTGCCATTGAATGGCCCCCAGGATCGCCAGATTTACCACCTTTGGATTTCTTTATGTGGGGTCATTTAAAAAGCAAAATCTGTGCTACTCAGCCAACATCATTAGAAGATCTGCGACAAAGAATTATGAATGAGTGCCTTCAAATTACTCCTCAAACATTGTAAAATGTGCGGCAACGTTTTGAGCAAAATCTTTATTATTGCATGGAGAGTCATGGTGGCCATTTTCAAGATTTACTTGCCTAGCGGGTCAGTTCATTCTTCACTTTTAAATTACTTTGCTGCCAAATGTATTGATCTCCACTAATGATGATGTATTAGTTTTATTTAAGCTTTAAATCAATAAATCTTCAAAACTACTGCACTGAAGTACGTTAATTTTATATCATTAAGTATAAAGGGAATTGAAATACCTTTAAAATAGGGTATCACTCGACTCCCCTTTCCATTTAAGATTTTGGGGGTGGTGTCACCCCCGCTTAGGGGGCTGCACCCCTCGAAAACAAAATCGACGGCTCTGAGCGTTTTTAAAAAAAAACTGAGCTGCCATTAAATGCGTCTGTTTTTACAGATACGCACTGACAACCAAAGGTCGGGTTGATCATCGCTCGATAAATTATGATCAGTTTTCTAGCCAGAAAAGAACAATAACAACTAACAACCAATAATCGGGCTGATTTCAGACTGTTTGGCTCTTTTGTTTTCCACAAGATCTTTTCTACGCATACTAGATCGGATGTGGTATGTGGTAACGCGGAAAGAAATTGGATCGTGATATGCAATAAGGAATCAATTCAGGAACTCTGTACTTATCGAATTTTAAAGGAAATGCATAAGTATGACACTACTCACAATTCTATTAGTATTATGTCGTGAATGTTGAAACTGATTAATGGAGACAATACAATGAATAGGAACATTTTGGAAAAAAATTAATCGACCCAGACGAGTGTCAACACTTGCTAATGCCGACGAGTTCAAGCTTAATATTTTAGCAAAACACAACTGATACTGAGATCTAAAATACACGAAAATTGTTAAAAAATGTTAGTAGTCATTTGGAGTTTATTCAGCATATTTTAACAACTTGACTTTCAACAGTACATAAGAAGGGGATTGACAAAATTATTACTTGGATTTTTCCCTTTGAAACGATTTTTGTGTTCAATTTCAATGGTTACTGCTGTCATTTATTAAGTATAAAATGGGATGAAGTAGGTTTACTCCAAAAGGGTTGCATGTTTCAAAAACTGATGAGAAACTAAATATTACGGATTTGCCAGTATTGTTGTTTAGAAGTCTAGATGTAAAACTTTCCAGACTAATTCTAAAAAATAGTCCTGCATATTTTCACTTGTACTCCAAAACCAACAAAAGGAGCACATTCCGCACATACAAAATCATCTGCGCAAAAATCAAAAAGTGGATCGTTAACGTGAAGCTTTCAAGCTTCTCTTGAATATGTAAATTAATCATAGAAATTTAAATGCAGAGTGTAGCACTCTCATTTAGAAACCTTAAGAGAAGTGCTTTTCACTTGCTGTGTGACTCATTTACGGTCTTCAGTGTTTTTTTTTCAGACAGAATATAAAAACTCCTTTTGAAAGTTCATCTCAAGGTATTAGAAAAAATATCGGGTCTTCTGTATGAAAAAGTCTTTGATACGTTAGCACGTACATATAGGAATCACCCCGTAGAGAGCCGCACCCTTTAGTAGTAAAGAGACTGACGACGTAATTTTATGTTCGGTACCTGTACCAGCAAAGAGGTTTGCTAATCCCTGGGCTCATTTGTAATGTAATCTGGTCGCCAACATAGATGCGTTCTGGGTTTTTCCTAGAAATAATCCCGGTAAACGAAAATTTATAAGAGCACACTGTCGGCCATGGGCGTCCGCTGGAATTTTTCTCAAGGGTGGGACAATTAGACAAGTCTTCTATGTACGAACCTCCAGAATGTTTTCTAAAGGAAAAAACGGCATTGCTTGCGATAAGCAGATGAAAATTTTTCTAACGAGGATCAAACAACGTTGAAAATCATAGGTATTTTACGTGAAGCCATGGTAAATATGGGGCGACTACATTTCCAGTGGAAGACCTTACCTCCATATGCTAGCACTCATGCTGACGGCATACGAGTAGTTAGGCTTTCAAACCAGTAAATTTACTGATATAGAAAATAAATACAAACAATATACTAATTTATGAACCATCACATTGTGATTTCTATGATCAATTAGATCCACTTTTGTAGCTATATAAAAAACAAATAAATGAAAATCGCTTCGTTTATTGACGATCACTTTCGGATTTTTTTTGTAGAGGTTAAATGTATCGCATTTAGTCCGAGTCAAATACGTTCTATCATTAAGAAGCTTCTGATCTCGGTAACAACGGGAAAATTATGTAAGTGGGTAAAAAACTCCAACTGGTTTGCGGTGGTGTCGTCACTGACACACCGCTACTGAAGAAATATTCATATATTTTAGCAATACATACTTGGATATTAGGAGTACCTACAACTTCAGCGTTCTGTTATGCTTTTGTAAATAATGACGTAAGTGTTTTTATATCTACACATATTTTTCTGAGTTTAATATCTCCAACGTCTGGTTTTCGTAGATTTTGAGACGGCTGAAATAAAGTCGCTAGATCATAGTGTTACAACGTTTCAGAGGTTCCCCCTTCATCGATTTGACAGGTGGATGATTATTATTTCTTACGTTGTGGAGTATGATATGGAAAGTATCAGTAATAGGTTGCTTAAAAAAATCCTGAAGATACTAGATAATATGTAAAAATTTACTTAACTATTGAAAAACTATTTCTTCTATGCAAAAAGCACAAAGCATGGTTGGCTGTTTTTTGGTCGGACGGACGAAAAGCCTCAGTAGATAATTTTATTGCGAATAAGATGTTATAAGGTTATCTGCAAATAACGTGTGCAAAATCAGGGTTGCCAGGATTTGAAATAAGAAAATTCAAACGTATGGAGATGCTCTATCCAGTGTTATAGAAAAAGACGCAGAATAGCAGCTGTAACCGCTGTTCTGACATGTGAATGAGAAAAAATAAATTTTAAATATTTAAGTTGAAAATATATCTTTCAGATTTCAAAATTAATTAATGGGTTGTTCTTAGACCTTCAGTACCCACGATTAATTTGCGAAATTTTTTCCAGGAGTTGATAAGAGAGCTAAAAAATACTTTATCCGGATCCGCACTGTGAATCATACCTTTCTTATATGTGGTAAATGGATCGCTTAATTAAGAAGCAAATATTTATTAAAACATTTATTAGATAATGATTATAACAACACATAACTAACAAGTACTTGGTAAAAATAAATTTATATCAAGCTTAAAGTTGATCTCAAAATTGATTTCAATACAGTACAGTGACTATCTCATCACATACAATCCATCAAAATGAGGCAAACAACAAACAAACCTTTTATTGAGGTTTTGGTATGTCTCTCTTGGTACTCCTGAGTTACTACTGGACTACTCAGAAAAGCTGTCTCGGGTCAGAATGGGCCGCAGACAGAATCTTTGGTGAAAGTCATGTTCCAACACCATGGGAAGATGCTGGTGGTTCCTGCGGAGGGCTGGGCAGGAACCACAATTCACAAGTTTGACTATTTGCATTCAGCTTCCTGTTCGTCGTACATCACCATCTGGCCCGACAGAACGCCTCTGAGAGGTCCAGGTGTTCCTCTCAGTTTCGGGGTTACCCCTGTATAATGCACTTTGTTTCGGAACCTGTAGTAGTCCTCGTCTTCCTTGCGAAGCTCGGATGTACTCGAGAGCGGGACGTGCTTCCTTTCTGGTTTCGGAGTTGAGGTCCTTGGTAGGCCTGCCTGGATAATGGTTTCATGGAACTTGGTGAGTAGCTCGGCCTGAAACAAAACAAAAAATAGTTTTCATTATATTGGTAAAAACAGAAAATTCGGCGGCACAGAACGAACAAATAATTTCGACTTAAAAATTTTCTAATGTACTTAATCAGTAGCGGTATTCTGACAAGCCTTTATGTGTGAAAAAGAAACAGCACGCCACTGTCTTGCGAAAAAATAGTAGCGTCTTAGAGCCAAAACAATTTACTGAAAAACTGTTTATGCGGCTTTTTCGCTTAGGGTAAAAAATATTTTATTAACCAATCATTCCATCGGTGAATCGTTATTGAAACATAGTAGTTCAAGACTGTACCCCTTTTAACGAATATGAGCCCTGTCTCAGTGAAACTGGCCCAACTATCAGACAGAAAAAATATCATACATATTCAAAAAAATTGCCGATTAATAAAAATCAACAAAACGATATAGCAGCTAATGAGATAATCACCACTGCATTACATCGCTTCGATACGTCTTGACATAGTGTCCACTAATGTTTGGCAGTCATCTGGTGTAAAGCTGTTCCAAGTTTCTTGGAGACGGGTTCGCAATTCTGGAACGGTTCTTGCGGGACTCGATCAGAGCTTTTTCTTCATGATATGCCACGAGGTTTCAATCGGCGATAGATGTGGACTATTCGACGTCCATCTTAAAACTCAAATATTGTTTAAACGCATTTGTTCAATTTGGGGTATTAAGTTATTTTGAAGCACATTAATGTACCTCCGCATATAATACATGGATCCCCAAATCATAACAGAAGCCGGACACTTCACTTTTTTTAAGACAGTCATTCTGAAACTAAAGTTCTTATGACACGACTCCTATTATCGCTTTAAAAATAGCCGCGTTCGGTTTTGTTATCTTTCCATAAACATTTTAAGAAACCAAAAATATTACATTTGAAATAAAAATTTAATTAGCCCTCAAATAAATTCACAAATATCATGTATTCACATCCTATAACAAAAAAAACTCCATAAGTCACTTTTTAAGCAGAACTCTGCAAAATCCAGTGGTGTGCAACTTTTCGCTAAACATCAAGTTTAAAGGCTATACTGAATCTGTTTTCCGCCTGTTACCTTGACTAACAAAATACAACATCGTTTTATGCTTTTTAGTAATCAGTACATTATAGGTTTCGTCGTGTGGACAAACGAAAAACAAATAAGCTTTGGCAGACAACTTGTATTATAAAAAAAAGAGATTTCCTCAATACTTATACATATTGTATTTGACCACTTCGATTATCCTTAGACGAGTGACCGACCAAGAACATTGCGACCCAAACATTTTATGGAGAATGGAAATCTGAAAACCATTGTCACGAATGAAATAATTTCACAGTTTCAAAATAGTAACCTAATATATGAATAAATAACAAGACAAAAATAAAAGGTACTTACAAGCTCACTTTTAGACTCCTTCGTCGAGTTCACTGGCTCGCAGCTAGGCTCCATACTTTGGTTCACTGGTTCACTGTTGCTTCACTTTCCGTAGTTGTGAATAGACTGATGAATTTGGAGTAATACTTATTATCAACTGTATACCTGGAGAGTGGAAAATGACACCAAATGAACGTTTTATAGCCTTACTTCTTCTTACAAGATTAAGGCGACCTTTAACACTTATACGAGGGTAATCCCAAAAATAAAGATTCGTATATTTTGGACGTACAAAAACTATATCTATTTCCAATAAGTGATACATCGGTATGAAGTCTGAACATTATTATAACGCAAGCCCACACGTCGCCGGTCAATCGGTCGATTTTCTGGAATAGTTTGAATCCAGACCTAGCAACCAACAACTACCACCTGTATCCTAAGTCGGAAGGTGATTTGAAAATGCGGTTAAGTTTTGACGACGAGGTTTAATGCGACCCCAAAGAGATAGCGATGAGCTGGTATGACATTGAGTTAAAAAACTGCCCAGCGTCAAAAAAATGCATCGAACGGAGTGGCGGTTATGGAAAAAATTGTTAAGCTTTGATGTATCGATTATCTCTATAGATTATATATACTAAGTGACATATAAATCCGAACACCCAGTTTAAATGGTTTTATTTTAATAAAAGTTGGTGAATGTATTTATCTTACTGTAAATAACAAGTGAAAAAATTATCAGTTGGACAATCCGGTTTTTATACTGCTTTTTTTTTAATTCACTAACGCTCTAAAAATTAATATTTCAGCCGCAGTAAAGAATCAACGTTGGCGGATTTTGGTTCTTGACATCCTTTACGATCGGTTACGATGCCTAGAGTACGGAGACCTGTACGATTTCGTCAACTTAGTGAGTTTGATAGGGGCCGTATAGTGGGACTTCGGGAAGCTGGACTTTCTTTTCGGGCAATTGCACTTAGAGTGCAAAGAAGTGTAGACACTGTGGTTAGGTGTTGTCAGGCATGGCTTCGAGAAGGCCGTACGCAAAGAGCAAGGGGCACTGGACGCCGCCGTAGAACAACAGACAGTGAAGATCGTCGCCTAAGATTATTGGCCTTAAGGACCGTTTCTCCACTACCAGGTCCATTGCAAATTAATGGTTTGCAGAATACGGAAGACCTATTGGCATGCGAAGTGTTTACCGACGAATGAGAAGTTTTGGCTTGTTTTCATACTGGCCTCCCTTTAACTCGAGAACACCGACGTAATCCCCTTGAGTGGTGCAGACAACGGTCACTCTGGGATCAGGAATGGAACAGTATTGTCTTTAGTGACGAGTCTCGATTTTGTTTAGGCATGCACGATTGTCGTGCCAGGGTTAGAAGGCGACGTGGTGAAATGACGAATCCACAGTTTTTTGTTGAAAGACATGTTCATCACACTGTTGGAGTTATGGTTTGGGGTGCTATAGCTTATGGTTCCAGGTCACCTTAAATCTTCATCAGAGGTAACATGAACGCGCAGCGTTATATCCACGAACTTCTAGAACCCCATCTTTTACCCTATCTTGACACCCTGGCAGATCCAACTTTCCAACAAGATAATGCCCGACCACATGTTGCAAGAGTCACAATAGACTTCTTTCAACATAATGATGTCACATTGTTACCATGGCCACCAAGATCTCCCGACTTATCCCAAATTGAGCACGTGTGGGATATGATGGGTAGGAGATTGCTCAATTTGCAACGTCCTCCTCAGACTCTAGAAGCACTTCGAGAGGAGTTGGTGGTTGCCTGGAATGAGATACCACAGGAGGACATTGACCACCTGATCAGAAGCATGCCTAGACGCGTTGGAGAATGCGTAGCACATCAGGGTGCATCCACACATTATTAAAGGTCAAAGGGCTTTAAAGCAGTGCAATCATTTTGAAATTTTTATCATTTACTTATTATGCTTCATTAAGTACTTATACAAAATTTTATTAAAATAAAACCATTTAAACTGGGTGTTCGGATTTATATGTCACTTAGTATATATATATATATATATATGTAGAGCCTCCCGAATTTGAACCAGTTAACATATGATCTTTTTGTGGTGTGAGGGAATTGTCACTATTATCTATAGAAGTTTATTTGGTAGTTCAAGTGACTATGAATTTCCAAATCTAATGAAATTTGCAGTTTATTGGTTGTATAAATAAGCAAATCTACAGAGAAATAGGAAAATCGACATGGTAGCAAAATACTTATGGGAGGCTTTTTATATAGTTATTTTTCGGAATCAAAATTGGAATAATCGAAATGACGCGGCACGATGATTACTAAATAGCAATTGAGCATCTACATATGTTTTCTGGAAATACGTATTTATTCATGCTAAGAAAACACATGACATATTACGAATAAAGACAAGTACGTCTTCTAGTCATGGTCATACTCCCAAAACTGTTGTATCGATTCTACAATTTGAAGAAGTGCGTTATCCGAGAAGGTACTACGCAATGGGCGCTACATATTTCATTAATGTAAACTTAGAAAAGCTGAGTCAGACTGATCCACCCGATATTGTGTTTATACCTTACATTATAAGATGATCAGACATCAGAAAACAATAAAAAATGTACACAAAGTTTCAATATTTTATATTATGGTAACCAATTCTCATGACGACTTATCGATTTTAAGGAATTATATTTTTGTTGTATCGGTAAAAGTTGAAGCATTCGTAGTGGTTGATATCCAAATCATATAGACCACCTACGCCTTATACTAAATTTCCACATCTTTTTTAGTATATGTAAGAAAGTGATTTTTTTTATAAAAAATGCCTCTACCTGTAAGAACATAAATCAATTTTGCTTTGTATTTAACCCAATAAGTCAATTCATTGTAGCATACGCTAGCACATAGTTTTCTGAAAAGGACTCTTCTTAGAATCCTAGATGTAGCCTGATCAATGACCTACCGGACCTACTTTAGGAAAATTGGGTTGTGAATAAACGATCCATCACTGCTTAAACTTTCCTGGTAACATTAAGGTAACATAACGGAAAACCCTCTTAAAGATTTGCATAAAATTATTCGATTCTTGTTAAATTATGTAATACGCTTAGGATAATGATGGACAGGTAATTATGGATTAAATACCTTTTGTTAATCGGATAAAGAGTTTTTGCAAAACATGGCTAATAACTTAAGCAAAACCATTGGTGATATTGACAGCTTTGGCAAGTTGTGAAATGCTTGTGGACGAAGCTTGTTACAGAGTTAATGATTTTCTGGATCAATAATGTGCTTTCATATAATAATGGAAAATAAATTTGTTCAAAAAAACTAAGAGAACAATAAAACAAATTCAGGTACCAGCAGCGAAACAAAGCTTATCCTTATTCTTAGCAGGTTGTAGGAATCTTGCATTAATAAATTAGTGCTACAAACCAGCTTAACTCCTGTGCGATTAGGGGTGGGATTATCCCTTCTTCAGGTAAAGACGGGGCAATATAAAAAGAGACCACCAGCACTTCATAAGCATTCTCTCAGATATTATCACGAGCAAAGCACTAAATACAGCAAGTATAATCTCAACATGGAACATTTCTACAGTCCAGTCAATCCAAAGTTTGATGTTGCAGAGGATCGTGTAAGACTCTTTATTTATTCATACTGTACTATTTCATCATGCATGCCATATATTTCAGGCTTTGCCTATATGTATAATTTTTAGTTTAATCAGTCGCACGGCGCGTTATTTGGTCATAACTTTCTAATACGTTTTATTTCACTTGTTCAAAACATAATATATTTGTTTCATTACAGATGGGCAGACTCATCATAAATGCAGCACCGTTTGAAGAGCACCTGCCAAGGTGCTCGACCCCGGCCCCGAAAATGATGTACCGACCAAGACCGATCTCAGATAGGACGATTGATGATGAAGGCTACTCGAAGTTCTGCAAGACGGTGGACTTTAGCGGCGTCGTGCCCAGACTTCGGGGGGCACCAGGTCCAATATCCGGAGTGCTCTCTGGACGTATGGTTATGTATAAGAAATAAATAATCAGAGAGAAGGAAAACATCGGGATCAATTATAGGGACAGGATATTACAAATTTGACCGGTAGCTCCCTTCAAGCTACTATTCCGCTGTAGCGGTTGTAATTTGTTATGAATTTTGACGATATACATTAAATGTGTGTGACTATCTTTATAGGGTTTATTATCTTATAACTGTAAGATTATATTTATATGTTGTAAATAATCATTGATACTAATTTATTTGACATGCTTTACATTTGATGTAAGCTCTTATTTTTGCTCGATTCTCTATTCAAGTTTTATGTTTCTATTGTTGCATAATAAATCTATATTTTTGTTGAACATGTGCATTTTTTTATTTAGGCGGGAGACGTCGGAATGTAAGAATATTATTTAAAACAAAAACTGTGTTATCCGAATTTACTCAAATACAGTGGTGTGGTGATAGGATAACATTAAAATCTCGGAAACAACAAATGAACGAAAAGTTGTGAGATATGAGCTCCTTCCACATTCACAAGATTGGTTTCCTATTTCGAGTCTCTAGAGAAAATATATTTTTTCGATTTTAACGATTTTAGGCGTCATTTTTGCAGACATCACACACTCCATTGTCATTAAAATTGATGATGGTGTCCAGAAAACGAGACGCCTTACCAAAAAATTTAAATGACAACCTAATGATATTGCATAATAAAAATGCATTATTTTGTAGTAGGTAAAGGTATTGACTGCATATTCTAAGGTGATAAAGTACTCGTCAGGAGCTTCAAAATGATGTGCCACAAGACCCCCGTTTTCATATAATTTTTTCCAAGATGACATTTTCATCTGTCAATTTTACTCTAGAATATGGTATCCACGCATCAATTTCATCACCTCAAGTTTTAATTTTTTGAATTGATCCGTTCAAAAAATCAAAGGACAGGGGGACATTATAGATAAGCACTGTATACGTGAATGGTTATGCATCTACAAATAATACGAGCCCCTTTCCACTTCAGTTGGCCCAACTATTGAAATCTTAGTTTTTTTCCTATCAAACACAAATAATAAAAATGTAGCAGGGTGTTATAGGTTTAAAA